ACAGTAGCCAACAAATGGATGGGAAATTGACGTGCAAATTTTGAAAAATTTTTGGGGTTCATCAAAGAGAACGCGGCAAGGTGTTCAGTGCGCAGACGATCGCCTATTTGATTCACCAGAATGTCACAGCATTCCTTTGCAGACAAAATCAAACGCTGCGTTGTTTGCCCGCGGCCTAAAGAAGCACTCCATGTGTCGTCGTATTTTATTGTTTCCCGGATACGAGATACAGCATCGCAGAATTCTGAAATACACGACTGCACAGACGCTCCATCCATTAGCCTTGACTGCAATGCGCTGTATAATACATCCACGTGATAGAATATTGCGGAGAAAAAAGCGAGAAAAAATGAAAACTCACCATCTTCTAGCAGACGCTTTAGACCTGCCGCCTCCCTCACAGAGCGTTCGTCCCAAACCGGAGAGCTCTGAATGCCATTGAAACACTCAATGAGCTCAGACCTAATTTCGGACACGCCCTGCACCACGCGTGATTGGAAGTTCCAACGTGTTGGTGCACAAGCTGGGAGACGGCGGCTACATATCTGGCGAAGGAGGTCAGAGCGCTTCGGCGAAACGGAAAAAATGAAGAAAACCCCTAACCCTAACATTTGTAAAAAATATACGATTGGTACAAAGCTGTGAAATCTCTCGGTAGGTTTACCATCTTTCACAAACCGAAAAATCACAGCCAGTCGGGAAACGCACGTGATGTCAGTTGTCTCGTCAGACTGAATCGAAATGAACTGGCAATTCTCAATTTCCAGAGCCAAATGTTGTAAATAAATTTTATACATTGAGTCGAGCAAATCATTTTGGATATCCTTAGATGTCCCTTTCGAAACAGTTGCGGCATCAAGATGATCTCTCAATATTGTATCTAGGGATGCGGTGTATTCCACCATATCCAAAAATACCCCTCTATTAGAAGAGCCAGCCCGTTCATCGTGCCCACCGAGGGACAGCTCGTGACAACCAAATGAACTTCAAAACATCTATCAATCGACCGAGAACATGGCGGTTTTTCTCGACGTTTTGGTTGTGCCGACGAATAGAAACCGCGCGTCCTTCATCCAACTGTGCTGCAATATTAACATTTCCGAATGTTCGGTATTTTACTGCATTGTCCAGATGCTCCATAGAAGATTGATGATCCCTGGCACGCTCGGAAAGATGTTTAAGATCTCTAAAACCAAATTTACACCAACGTGAGTCACGGGCGGTAGCAAAAAGTAGGCAATAAAAACAAAAAAGTGCATTTTTGTCCTCGCTGTAACACAACCATTCGTGTTTTTTATACCAAGTTTCTGCGCAGAATGTACGCCGACGCTTTCCTCCGTCATGGGATTGTTCCAGTGAACAAATTTTGGTTGATAAGGCCCAAGACGTTGTACCTCTAATTTTTGTTCCAGCGGTAGCTGCGAAAACGGAGTGCGAAGTAGTGCATCAACCTTATTCATTATGAGGTCTAAGGCTAAGAAATGCGAAGCCGGAAAGAAGTGAGGAGCTCAAAAGGAATGTGGAAAATCGAAAGCAAATGGACTAAAGGTCTCTAACTGATTCAAATAGCGAAACAAGCGACAAAAACGAAGGCGAGGAAACTATCAACTCTTCAAGCAACCAACGAACGAGAAGGAATGCGTGTATATGTCAACACGTTGTTGTAAGAAACGTCGGCATTGTGTCGTCATAATTTCGGGGCTAGCCCCGATCGGCCCCGATGATCTAGTAAAAGAAACAGAAAACAAACGAGACAAACGCGGCGAATGGAAGATAAAAGAGAGAATACGATATACAATGAGCAACCGGGGCAAAATCGGCGTCGCCCCGTCGACGTTCGGCGAAGGCTTTGCGAGCGAAAAATGAACCATGTCGGGAGAATATGGCTAGTGTAGACAGTCTGTGCAACCGATATTGAGGTATTTTTCGAATATAACAACCGGGACATTGCCCCGGTTGGCCCTATTGACGCGCCGCCACTGCCAAATAATATATAGTAGCCCATCTTAGTAACCGAATTCCCTAGAAAAAATAAACTCCGAAACAGTAATATGTTCCAAACAAAGATTTTGGTTAATATGATGGTAACAAATGTTGCATAAGTTTGGAACGAAATTCTGAGTTTGATTTTTTCAAGTCATTAGGTAGGGAATTCCAAGCTTTTGGTCCACATACTGCAATGGATTCTTGTGAGATACTTTTAGCAACAAATGGGATGAAATTTTTTTCCTTATTTCTGCTATTTGAATTTGGGTTTATTCGGAACAATCTGTTCAGGCTGGATGGAAGTTGCCCGTTGTAGCTAGAGAACACCATCCTGCATAGTTCAAATTTAGCTAAATCCTCAACACGTAACAGCTTATACTCTTTAAATAAGTCATCAACTTTTTCTTGATTTCCTCTATTGAAAACTTTTCTAATAAAACGGTTGCATACACTTTGAATTTTTTTGATAATGGACGTTTGGCGATGAACGTAAGTTGAAGCGCAATATCGAATATGGCTTTCTATTAGTGAGTGGTATAGGGATATTAAACAGCATGTATTTAGATTATTGGCTATTTTCGTGATAGCACCTAGAGATGACCTTGTTTTAGATAGAATCAGGTTTGTGTGCTGTTTCCAACACAATTTGTCATCAATTATTACACCCAAAAAGCGCGTCTGGTTAACCCTTTCTATATTTATTCAATTCAATTCCAGATTTTGTTGCGGTGTTAGACACTTCTGCTTTGGCGCGCTAAATGCCATATATTTAGTTTTTTCCAAATTAATAGTGAGTTTGTTCGCAGACAACCAAGCTCGAATATTTCCCAAGTCAGTATTTGCTTTGGTCAAAAGTTCAGGCAAGTCTTTGCCTCGAAGATATGGCGTTGAGTCATCAGCAAAAAGTATGATAACAGAGTGATGAAGAGAATTTGGAAAGTCGTTAATAATGATTGGAAAACATAATGGAGCCAATATAAAACCTTGTAAGATGCCTACAGTCAAATTACAGTATGTGCTAGATGCTACGTCATTGTATATTACTACTTCTTTCCTTCCTGATAAGTAGCTTTTAAACCAATTATAACTCTGACCTCTAACACCAATATGGTGCAATTTGGCTAGTAATATGTCATGGTCAATACCATCAAATGCCTTGGAAAGGTCCAAGAACATACTAGAGTATACTCGTTCTTTTCAAATCCCTCTAAAATTTTACTGACAAGTAGAGATGTTACATGGCATGTTGAGTGATTTTGGCGAAAGCCAAAATGCTGGGAATAAAAAAAAATTTTTTGGTCTAGGAAATGTTTGAGTCTCTTGTACATAATTTTTTCTAGAATTTCTAAAAAATGCAGGAAGTAAGCTGATCGGTCGGCAGTTTTTTACATCCTTTGCATTTCCTTTTTTGACCAATTGAATAACTTTGGATAATTTGAACCGGTCTATGTATTTACCAGATTGTAAGGAGCAGTTGAAGATATGCGTGAGAGCACAAATACAATTCCAGGGCATCATTCGTATAACTTTAACGGGAATTCCATCTATTCCACAACTGGTTTTGGGTCGAAAAGATTTCAGAATATTTTGGACTTCGAAAGCTGTTGTCGGGGCTAGAAACATGGAGGTTTTACTGGGATGTCCCATATATTGCTTGAAGTCATATCTTCTAGTATGAGTAAACCGTTCGATCATTTTATTTCCAATTGTAGAAAAGTGCGAGTTAAAATGATCTGCTATTTTGACAGGATCCGAGGTTTGCTGGCCGTTAATAGAAAATACTTTCGTTAGAATTGGTTTTCTTTTGATCACGTTCGATGGCACGTGATCAAAAGAAGAGGATTTTCGGCATATGCGTCTGCAGAACGTTCGGTGACGTCATAGCAAGTGAGAAAAGTGTCTGAGCGGATGCAAAAAGGGAGCATTGGTACGTCACTTTTTGCAATTTGCTGATTGGCCCATGTCACGAAGTAAACAAGGAAGTCGATGCTCGGGGAAAGGTCCATTGGTCCAGAAATTAGAGAGAAAAGAAACTTTTCAGAATTAGGTAACAAGTGGGCGTGGTTTTTCACACGTTTTCTCACCACTGAGGGGACGAATACATTGTCTCTACCCCCAATGTCACTTGAAAAAATTCCCATTACCCGGGCAAACGCTTCCCCACGCCGAGAACGGAGATTAACGGCCTCTAAATGCCAAAATCACTCTAGCGTGACTAGATCGATGACTTGGTTGACAGGTAGCCTACTCCGGGCCACTAAAAGCCTGATTTGTCCCACTTCCAATTTCAACGAAAATTGAAATACCAAGTGATCCATGTCATTTATCCATTACGGTACCAGGGCAAAATAAAAAATATTCCCCGATAATCATATGCGGTACGGTAACTTACCAGAACCTGAAATTTGTTCGCAGAACGGTTCTTTCTTGTCATATAAGAACTCAATTCATTTCCTCTTATCGAATAAAAAAATAAAGGTAGGCTACAAAATTTATGTTGTTTACATCAAAACTGTAACGAAAAGATGAGAGAGTAAATCACTGCGGTACCGTACCTCAATTCAATTTGCTCTTATCAAAATTAACAAATACGGTAGGCTAAATTTGCTAGAAAACCTGCATTAGTGCAATAGTAAGATCGCGGAAGAAATAAGTCAATTTCACGCGTATCTGCCAGACGCTTCTTTTCTGCAAAACCAACTAATTCGATTCATCACGGTATTATAACAGAAAATACCACAGTCTACAAATATATATTCACACCAAGCGAAGCAATGCAGTACGGTTTACCGTGCCTTTAGCATCACCGGTAACCTCAAAAAACTTACAATTTTTAAGCAACGATTTTCAGGATCCGCCATCACGCCGACGTTAGATAGCACGTGATCATGCGTCCGTTATGTCCACTACGTGTCCAACAACATAATAAAAAAACGATCGTTATGCCCACTAACGTGTCCAATAACGTGTCCGATATTTGTGGGGTCAAAGTTCGGTATTTTTCGCTATGACATTCGGATACATATTTCGTGTGGCAATTTGCCGCGATAACAGGGTTTTCCAGTTTAATTGTCTTTCTATATGTAAGCTTGAAAATACTGAAATATGGCAACTCCAGATGGCAGACGAGTGAACAGACCTTATAGAAAAGCATCAGTGAGTAAAACAATAAGATAATTGAATGAATATTATGATAATAAGATCTCTCTCTTACAGCAGATCGTCTCGAGATATTTTATGTATTTTTTTCCTCAATTTATTTAAACTTAGTTCGTTTTTTTGTTTTTGTTTTTTTATATTATAGTGTTAGACTTATTTTATAGGTGCCGCTGCTCGATAACCAGTATTGGTTTCTCGCGTCTCCTTCACCCTGAAATATGGCCAATTTATAATTTAATTTATTGCAATTTGTATGTTTGTGCCTATTTTAAGTATGGTGAGAAATAAACTACTGATTACTGATTACTCTCAGAGACAATAATGAATTTACAGCATTCAAGTATTCAAAATCATTTGTTGTCTGTTTACTTTTTGTGTTGTTCTGTTTTACGTCTGAGTGCCGAAATAAAAGGATTGATTAATTTGGTGACGCCATGATACTGTGATATATAGAACTGTAGAATAGGTAATTCACAGTAAGACCAACACATAAACTCTGGAACTTTGCTAAAACTATAAATGACGTTCAAAAAATTTGGGTATTGGAATTTTACATGGCGGAAAAAGTCTGGCCTCTTTCATACAGTACTGCAGTACGACACAGTTTACTAATTCCATAAATAGCCCCTTCATTAAAAGACATCAATTATAACAGTGAATGCAAACCCCTCTTTTCCAAGACAAAATTGACAAGCCACCAGTCTGGATTTCATGGCCTTTTTGAACGAGAAATCGGGCGTGCAATCAGAAATTCTCGCGTGCAAATACGAATTTCTGTCATGCAATTACAGCTCATGGCGTGCAAAACAACTGCGCCCGCGTGAAACTGACTTCGACCTAAGATACCTTTCAATACATCCGCGTAAAATTAACGGTATTGGATACAAAATATGTTGAATCATAGCAAAAATGGACGTTTGACCTTTGACCCCAAACATTATTTCTATATTATTCTCACTAATTTTGAGAGTGTTTGTGCGACTCTATATACCGGTACTGTTCGGTACATCCGTGTAAAATTATTGTATAAAAAATACGCTGAATCAAAGCCATAACTGGCCAGCGTCGGTGAGGAGGCGATCTTTCTCATTCAACACGATATGGTTTTTTGCTTCGCATTTTTCGATCATGCCAAATCTTGCCAGCTAGTATTAGTCGACAATTGTGGAGTTATAATTTTTTGGCATCTTTATATTACTAGATTATTGATTTAAAAACTATTTGAACCGATTTACATTGGTGAGCGATTGCAAATTTTCGGCGTGCAAAATTGAATTCGCTCGCGTGCATTTTTGTGGAGCGCTAGCGCCCTCGGGCGTGCATCTGCCATGGAATCCAGTCTGGCAAGCCAGTACTGCGCAATCTAAAATCTTCGTGTAGCAAGTTTAATAATAGTGGAAACCCTAGTAGGTATTTGATTACATTTAAACAATATAATGTAGACTTTCGAATTTGAATGTAAACTCAAGGAACCCAGATTGAAAACCGCTAATCTAGATGCTTCGAAAACTCTTATTTCTTTGTATTTGAATGAGCCAATTATTATTAGATTCCTCTATTACAGGAATATCTAGCAACCAAGCAATCACCGTATAATGGGCCCAAGACAATCGTGTGAGTATGATTGCGTTTGTGCTGATGTGGACTGAAGTCTTATTAGCTTCGTTGCTTGCTAATGTTGTCAACTAAATTCCAAATGTCCAGTCCAGTGGTCCTCAAACTATCCTGATTAGTGACCCCCTTCCAGAAATTTTCAAGGCCATTCAGCTCCTGCTGTTTTATAGAAATCACAACAGTTTTTTTGAGTATAAAACGTAAGAAATCAAGTAAAGAATATTACAATCAAGACATTTAACTAATTTACCTAGTGAAGGCTTTCGTAGGCTTGTAGCCTCCCTGGCAGGCAGAGCGTTTGAAAAATCCTAGTTCAGTTAATTTGAATTTCATGTAACCGAGAGCGGAAAGATATGCAATCCATCAATTTTAACCCGGAATTTCAAATAAATTTCTTCCAAATCAAATTTTGAAATAGAATGTGGCAATGTGAATATTGAAATCAAATTTTGTTTATGTGACATGTTTCGAATCATTTTAAATTACTTGTTTATAAGACTTGCAGTTTGACAAGTTTATCTTTTCTTTTCTTCAAGCTCTGGAAGGCAGAAAACTCGGAGCTTCGTGAAAAATTAACACCTGTGTCCGAGACTGGAAAACCGATGGAAGTGGAATTCGAACAAAGTCGCGGAATATTTTGCGACTCAACTTGATGTGGTTCAGGATAAACTGAACAGAACAACACAAGCCTTGAAATTGTGAGATTTTTCTTTGTGTATATTGTTATATTTTTAGTGAGGTGCAGAGGGGGGAATTGTGATAAAAGAATAAAATGTTATAATTTTTGTCTGGTTACCACATATAGTAACACAGACCTCAAAATTTGTCTTTGTGTAGGATATTTCTATTTTTTCCAGATATAGTAAAAAAAGCCTATATCTCTGCATAGAGTATTTTTATTTTTTCAGAGGGGGTATGGTAACAGCCAGGGTGGGGCGGATGGAGTCACAGAGCCTCACCTCACTATAATGAAGCTGGATCCAAAGATACATGAAATTTTAATTCGACCCCGAACCATCTAGTGTTCACTTTAAAGGGTACCGCGATTTCAAAAAAATTGTTCCCCTCACATTAAATTAAAACAGCAAAATTTGGGATGAAATAAGGGTTCCCCCAATGGGGCTACAGAGCAGTTGGAGAGAAGCCACATTGACAGGCTCAAAATTTATCCTAAAGGAATTTCGTTTGTATACTTTTCCCCTATAATAAAATTCTACGTTCTCTTCATATTTTCGTACGAGAAATACCACTGGAATGGTGAGCAGGGGGTCCATGAGTGCTAAAAGCCTTCGGTAGAGGGCTACGAGCCATAAACGGTTGGCAACCACTGCCTTAGTTCATAGATAATAAAAAAAAAATTTTGCCCGACAAGAATTCAGCAAAATGAGTGAAAAGGGTTTATTTGTACTTGTATTTATTTTCAGAATGCAGCAGAGTTACTCTGAACTCCAGTCCATCAACTATGAATTGGAACAAAGAGTTCTGAAGGTGAGATATCCTGACGAATATAAATCTCTGAAACTTGGCAAATCATAGAAAACTTGATGAACTTCTCTCCTGCTCTAAAACAAATAATTAATCAACTAACCTCCTCTGTTTGATCACCAGCGCAGTATGACATGCAGCTTGACAGTGTGGCACATCTTACTGAGCATTAGGAAAACGCTCATCTTCCCACCGCTGATTACTATACAAGGGTTTGCAAGTTCGAATCTTGTGGGGGAAATTATTTACAGAAGTGTAACTTGACTCCTCCCCATTGTAGGGTGCTTCACGTAACCACTGGTCGGTTACGACTTCCTCCACCTTCAAGTCCATGCATCTGAAACAAGTGACTGGCTGACTTATCCCATGCCTGACATGGACTGGTAACTGATAAATCGGCATGCTACACCATGTGATTAAGACATCCCTTACCATAAATTTAAAAATATCATCTTAGGATTAGACCGTTTTAGTGGCTTTTCTCACTCCACCGAAAAAAATATTAACATCCCACCCTACGATTAAGCAATCTTGTGAACTTCAAAATTTATTTTTCTTTGCAAGCTGACAATGCATCCGCAGATGATGTCATATGCTGAAAAGGTATCATGTCGTGTTAAGTTATGGAATGAGGATTTAGATCAGCGGTTCTCAAACTTTTTAAGCCACACCCCCTTTTTAAAATTTGTCAAGTTACCACGCCCCTCAAAAGTTATATGAGCCCTCTTGTGGTGCGTATTCCACTGTTTGAGAACCACTGATTTAGATTGATGTATTTTTATGTGTGTTCCACTCTGAACAAGCCTTTGTATATCTGTTCAAAGTTACTTTGGGAAGACAGAGTCTGTATAAGTTAATGCCTCAACAATACTCGGTGTGATTAAAGTATGTTTATATGCACATCACGATTGCACAATCAACCACTGTTAAACTTGGATCTACTATATTTGAAAACCGGAATTATTTTGGTTTGCATTGCCAACCTAATTTATTAACTAAGGTTTCTATGGCGAAGTGTTTGCAAAATGCTTTGTACCTCTGAATAGCCTGCACAGGTTCGAAGTCAGTGATATCTACAAAAGCATCCCCCTCCTGTTCCCACCACAGGGGTGATTCACATAAACCCTGGTCGGTGACGGCTTCCAAACACCAATTCAAGGCATTGAAAACAAATTACTGTTTACCAATTTTCATACCAGACATGACTGGTATTCTTACGTTACGTCGTGTGCATATGCCTACTTATTTGTTACCTCCATCATGCGATGAAATTTGAATGGAGCCCTATTATTTTAGGTGGTCACTCATGGCTATTGCTCAAGTGATGCAGTCTTTTTTACTTTTTGATTGCACTGATTTTCAGAATATTATGGTGGGAAAGGAAATTCATGAAGATGGTATTATTCATCGTAACAGGACATACTCGTCCGGGTTAACCAGTTGGTGTCAGTAAATGGAATTAGTTGCCAGATAATTTGTTTCAGATGCATGAACTTCGATTCTTTGTAGAAATACTGGCCCTTCTTTGAAATATTAGGGGTTCGACTGATGCGATTTACGTTGAAGTAGTAGGGAAATTTGGAGAAAATAGAATCGCAATCAGGCAATAGATAAATCACTTAGTAAATATCAGGCCACTATAATTCATTTAAATTTCACAGGGTCAATCATCTTGAAGATGCAAAAAGTCAAACTGACGACAGGACGTTCATGAATTGACGAACAGATTAACAGAAACTCGGAGTGCTTTGCAGAGAACTCAGAAAGAAAATGTATGTGGGGGCATCTATTGTAGATGGGGAAATTCCCTTATGGGTGGGGATAAATCATAGTTATATTGTGAAAGTCTTTTTTTGGTTTATCAAATATATACAGTGTCCATAAAGTCTTGAAAATTTTTCAAATTGCAACAGGAATTTAACAATATCATATAGTGTTTCGGACCTCACAGATGTATTAAATGAAGTAAAAATACTCAAACAATTACTGATTAGAAAACAACAAACCTGGTCAAGATATATAGAGAAGACTTCAATAACTGACTTCATAACAAAATTAAAGTTGTAAAAAGACTTTATTATGGACAGGACACTCTGTATGGTTAGCAATTCCAATCACTTTGAAGTTTAACACATTCCTTAAAAATAAGAAATTTCTGATGAAAAATGACCAAATATTTTTTCTCTTATAAATCTTCACAGGAGCGTCTTCGCAAAGATTGCAATCTTGCCGTTTCATTGCTGGAATGTAACGCTGGGAATTTCAAACAACAAAAAGCTGAGCAGGTAACTTGCTTTTGAATTTCGATGCAAACAGGGGCAAAGACTGATATAATTAATTTTTTTTTATCGTGACAACACATTTATGTTCTAATCATTTCAATATTTCATTGCCTGAGTTTTATTTTCACTGATCTGCTGCGTAAATAAATTTCAGGCAGACCTCAAGACGGGTAGGTTGTTTGTTCATCTTAGTTCACCGATACGCTGAAATCCATATTTTCATGCAAATGAGGGTTTTATAGAATTTAGGTTGAAAATCATATTCGCTGGCCTGTATATTTTATTGAATATAAGTCAGGACAATTCAGTTTGAACTTCACTGTGACAACATATCTGGGAACTTATCAGAACTTTGAACGTGGTTTGGCATATAGACATAAAAATGACCAATCTCACCTTGTGACATAGAATATAACGGAAAAAACATGATTGCACCCTTGCATGAATGATTATTCACACTCACTCTGATCGTTTCAGCTTCCAAGAGAACTTCAAATCGTGTGGAGAATATCAGATGATCTTACTTCAGTATAATGAATATATTAACCCATATGCTGACGATAGTGACAGTGAGACTGAAAATGAACAGAGATACTACCATGCCCAGGTATGAGTGGGTTAATAATGAATTTAAGATGGAAGGTATTGCCTAGACAAAGTGCTAGAAACACACTTTCCATTACACCTGCAGGCTCTAATTCCGTGGGGATGATAATGTGGGAGTGAATTACCGGACTCCTCACTGTTGTATTGTGGTTACGTCTACCTCCACCATCGAGTTCCTGCATCTGGAAACAAATAACTGACTAACTAATAATCCCCATCCGACATATGCTGGTAACCGGACGAGAGGGTGTGGTACGCCATATGGTTAAGCCGTCTTATCGGCTTTTCTCTATCCTGAGATAAATATGATAAAACTATTGAGCCATCCTCTTGGCTTTACTCTATTTAAAAAATAGGTATGAAAACCTGTCCTATGATTAAGTCTTAACAGTTTTCCTCTGTCCTGGGATAAATATGCAAATCCCATTATTAATTTATATCAAATATTCTTTTCCTGGGATAAATAAATGAATTCCTAAATAAATTCTTTCCCTATTTCAGCCTTCGACAGTACCGACCGAACTTCTTGCAAATGTTTTGAAAAAGCCGGAGAATGTTCATCTGAATTTACAAGATACGGATTTCATCAAAGATCCGCACCTCAACTCGGTAAATTAATTTTTTACACTTTCTAAACTGGTGATTCCCAACTGTTTGTGACTCGTGTCCCCCCCCCTATGGGGTTTAAAGAAATAATGGGCCCCTGCACTTAGTCTTGTGGCCCCTTCCTAGTGATTCCAAGTATTGAAAGACTCTGCTGTTGAAAACAAGTCAGATATTGGAATCTGGTTGAATTAGTTATTCAGCATTATAATTCTTTATTTAACATAGTTTTTATTATTGTGCAACAAAATTTGACTTTCTGCCAGTTGTACACACACTGACATATAACAAACTTGGAGACCAAAATGACCAAATTGCGCAACAAAATGACCAACAACAATATTCACACGACTGACAAATAACAAAATTACATAGGCACTGATAGCCTAAGCAAACAATTTCCAGAATTTTACTCAGTTATTGAACGAGCCTTGCGTTATTTTTAACAGGTATACAAAGGTCAAATTGCGGAGAAACGATTAGTGAAGTATGATTATCAAGAATCGCCAAGTCATCATCAAAATATGCCCAATCATGAAAGCTCAATGAAGCGTGACGAACCCCAATTCAAACTCATGCCGAGAAGTTCAAACGGAGCTCAAAGTTCATCGCCGTGGGAACTTGCGACAACATCAACAACTAGCACAGCGGCGACATCAAGTGGTAGCAGTTCTCCATGGGAAATGTCATCTAACCCACCAGCTCGGAATGATTATGACGCAGACGATTACAGTGCGGCTTCTGCATATGGCGCTTATCCCGTATCATACAGAAGAGGCAATCAACGACAGCGCTCAAATTTGCCAAAAAAATCCTCCCTCCCCAATGATAAAAAATCTTCATATACCAAAACTAAAATGTCAAGTTCATATAACGCTGCTACTGCAGTAAGAAAGCAGTCACAAAAAGGAACAGGCGAGAATAAAGACGTTTATATATCAGATACGTATAAACAGCTAGATGGCGACAAAGAAGATATTTGTTCCACCCCTAGTTCGGGTCGGAGCTCACAGAAATCAACGCCAGCGCATGAAAAGGGTTCATCAGCGGAAAAGTCGTCACTATTAGATGAGGGCGATAGTGAAGACGATCTGGTGCTGACGGTTGAAATCGGGGGGGAGAGAGCCCCGAAAGTTGGCATGGGGAAATCCCCTAAACATGGCATTGGGGAAGAGAGGGGTTTACTCAATGATTCTGATCCAGAACCAGATGTGAGAGAATTAGATTACGAAGAAGAAGAAAAAAGCAAAGTGAGAGAATCTGTTGGGGAAAATATAAGAGAACCAGATGTGAGAGAATCAGTGGAGCATGAAGAAATTGACCTTTTGAATCTCGATGAAAACACTCAAGTTTTAAGTTCAACGGAAAACTCCCCCCTACATCAGATTATGATGCAACAATCAATTCTGTCATCTGCCCTCCTCCCTGATCTACCACCCCCTAGTGACCAACAATATGATGGGGAATTACTCCTTGTAGGTGAAGCCCCGCCCCCACCCGATATGTTTGGTGGTGCTCCTACCTCAAATCTTGGTGTACAGTATGATGTTACAATTCCCACCCAATCAATTCTTCAAAACCCTTTGTCTGATCCCAAGGAACTAAACTCTGTGATGTCACAATCATTTCCAATGATCTCACAATCAACAACAGTGATGTCACAATCCTCAACAATGCCATGTACTCGTAGTTCAAATTCACTAGACGACTTGAAATCTTACGTACAAAAAGAATTTAATGAAGCTACAAGTTCAACCCCCACTTCGCCAAAAGATGCTTTAGTGACACCTAGTGTTCAAGATGACCTTTTCTTGTCCAGTGGATCGAGTGTTCCTGATGAACTCTCTGGTGCAACTAGTGGTACAGTTGACATTCCTGCAGGAATCCTACAAGTTGAAAGTTCAGGGAATTCTGAAATTCAGCTTTCAGTTCCTGATGAGGAATCTGAAAGTGAGGAAATTGCTGAAAAGGATGAACCACTGAATGAAGAACCGGGCAGTACTGGAAAGAATGAAATGGATGAGATTAGTGAAAAGGAAGGACAAGACTCCGATGAAAACGAGAATCAAGTAACTTTTGAAATGCATGAAAATGTGGAATTGATGAATAAACCAGAAAATTTTACTGAAAAGGAAGAAACTGGGAATAGCGCGGAAACATTCGAAGCCCATGGACAGTCTCTTGATTGTGAAGTCACAATAACAACTGCACAACAAGAAAATCTTCGTTCATCGAGTGCAGATGAGTTGCTACATGAACCACTGGAGGTGCTAGAGTTACAGGAGGAACCACGGGGTGGGGGTGCAAGCAATCGCCGACGAAGAAATAGCTTCGATCAGGCAAGAGAATTTGGTAACGTCATGGATGTCTAATCAATTACTGTTTAATCGTCAGGGGTCATTAGACACGCATCACTGAGTTTAATTCTGCATTCAACTTCGTTTCTCACGTCATATAAACACTGCCCTTCATTCTAGAGTTGTGATTTCCGAGGAAATTGATCGCAACGGAGTCGCTCGTAAATAACGGAGACTCATCTAAGGGGAGTTAAAAGTGAGCACAGTAGCACCAATAGCTTCTGAAACAATATAGGATTATGATAGTGCACTCGCTCAAAAGTAAATAAACCTATCTCTGATTGAAGTAACAGGCAGCCATGTTAGGGTTTTAGTTAACTCTTTAGAGCCTGCCTTAGCTTTCTCGTTCATTTGCTCTTTTTTTGTTCAATCAACTAGCTCCAGTTTTTTTCAATTTTACGTGCGTTCCCGAATGTTGCAGGAGTCACCCACCTTCTTAAAATTTTCAAGTCCCCTACCCCCAGTTTTGAATTGTGAAACCACACTCCAATTGCTATAAAATGTAATTTATCTAGATAGTGGCGCATTTACCAGTGCAAATAGTAAGTAAAATGCATAACACGTACTTATAAGTTATATGTAGTGTTATCGCTAATAGCAGAATATTCAAAAGTCCCCAAATTTGCAAACAAAAGCTGGGGACCATAACTACCCTGCATGAGAGACAGTTATTTGCAAGAAAATTAATGGGATTCTCATCGATATTGGGGGGCTTACATAATTTCACATTTCTGGGTCATGCAGATAAGCCCAGCATTTTGACAAAGAATAATGCTGTGAAGCTATAGGTGCTTGCTTTACACTAAACACTGTTTTGCACAAAAACTTTTATATCTGATCAAAATTGTGGAAACTACTTTCCAACAAGAATTGGTAAAGTCATTTTTCTATTCATTTATTCTATATGTTCTGCCATACTTTTAATGTAGGCGCTCCAAGACTAGGAAATTGTAAAGTAGAATGTCCCATGTCAGCTGGTAATGGGACACTAGTATGTATGCTGTTTGTTTACAACCGGGGTTCCCAGACTTTATTGGCAGCGGGTCAAAATTAGAATCGGGATATGTTCGAGGGCCGGATGAGTGTAGCGCCCGAAAGTGTGCGACGGTTGCCAAGAATGTCTGTTTACAGAGTCTAGTTTTCGTTTGTGTTTTGATATCTCTAAGCTTTCTTATGTGGTTGATAACTAAATTACTGCCCTATGTAATCCTAATACCGGTTCGTATGATTAATTGGATTGTTACAATAAACATATGCTTGAACTGTGATAATCATGTAACACACTAGAACGCAAACAAAATCTGTTGAACACTATTGCATCTGAGCTCAGGGGGCCATTTTAAATCTTTATGCAGGCCGGATTTGGCCCGCGGGCCATGGTTTGGGAACCCCTGGTCTACAAGTTCAAATATTTCCAACCCCCACCCCTCGCTCAAGAAGAGTTTTGGCCCTCACAGATGTGTTAAATGAAGAAAAAATACTTAAATAATTATTGATTAAAAAACAACAACCTCGTTAAGATATATTGAGAACTGACTTCATAATGGAATTGAAATTGTAGAGAGACTTTATGGACACCCCGTACTTCCATATCTTATTGGGGGGAACTTCCAGATGTAGTCATCTCTTTTACAACAACTCACTCATTCGACAATGTCATTATGTTATAGCTGCTTTCTCTGTGGTGCTTGTTTATATCCATTATTTATCTAGTTCAGTGGTGCACAACTCAAATGAGGATACGTGCCAAATTTTTAAAAATAATCTTGTCCCGTGCCACGCACAATTGTGGTATTGTAAATTAACTCCAGCAAAACAAACAAATTTTAATGATAACGGATATCTATTTATTGAAACAATTCAATAGGAATCTTCCCTGTTTTACATATCACCCACCTAATTCATCACAGCCTGGTCATGAATGTGCCCAGGTTTTGTTTCAATTTTTGGTTTAGTTTTGTCAATCCAAGTTGTTATATGAAGCCAAATGAGTGATCTTTCATTCCCCCTTTCTGCAAATTTGAATCTGATCGTTAGGCCCATTTTAGCATTAAGGGGGGTTGTTATTTCTTTGCAATGTAGAGAAATTGAAACTACCTGCTAAAAGCATAATCATGTTATTTATTATATTGTTTTGATGTGTGCAATTTGTAGAAGAGAATGCATGGGAACGCCATACAACCATATAATACAGAGGGAATTTCCCCACCCCAGCAGCAATTCTCATAAGGCAATTGATTTATTGTTTCACATGTGCCGATTGATACCAGTTTGTATCTTGACTGTTTTTTGTTTATATTGCATTTCGTATCTAACGTTGCACAGACCAATGTCCAGTATTACTTGAATAAACCAATGTACCTAAGCTGTCACCTACCGGTAATTGTTCTGATAGGAAGGGGTTGATGCCAGTGATGGGATTTGGGAAAAGCGCGCTTGGAATGTCGCAGTCTATGACACCCTTTTCACTCGGATAGCTACGGTATAATAGGATAGAATTTATTCATTAAATATTTATGTTTCGGGGGGGAGAAGCCGATAAGACGGCCTAAACATATAGCAGACTACAGAGAGAGTCCGGTTATCAGTCTATGTTGGGTATCGGTTTAGTTAGCCAGTTATTCGTTTCATATTTATGGACTTGGTGGTGGAGGAAGCCGTAGCCAACCAGCGGTTACGTGGAGTCCAGCAATACCCTCGCAAATAATTATATCAACAAGATGCAAACCTGCGGTAATCAGAGATATGTTGGCAAGAGTATTGATAACGCTTAACACGGTGCGCCACACCGCATTAGCCGCCGACTAGCATAATATTTCAATCAATCAATTTTATTTGGTAAGGGGACCTGTACGACGGGCATAACTTGATTAAAAACGTACAAGTACGTGCCCGTCCACCAAAAACCGTCAAAACACAATAAAACAAAAACACGATATAAAATCGGGCAATAATTTTAAATTAAATACAAATGTGAGACGTGTATGTGAAACACAACAGTGTTAAATTTGCTTTGCGAGCAGTACCTACAAATGACCTCTTATTTAGGATAAATAAGACATCAAGTCCGAAATGTACATTTTGTGAAAGGAATGTTGAAACTGTGTTACATTTATTTTATTTCTGTGAATTTGTGCAACAATTTTGGGAAATAGTTAATGCATGGCTAACTGTTGAATATGGTTTAAATCTTAATCTGACATATAGAGAAATTTTAATGGGGGTAGAGCAAAACCAAGGTATAAACTGTGTTTTATTAAGTGCAAGATATTATATCTATAAATGTAAACTACGTAATGAAAGGCCTCAATTTGATCAATTTTTATATATGATAAAAAGTATATTTAACTGTGAAAAAATTATTGCAACTAGAAAATGTAAACTGTCGAACCACATTAAGAAGTGGAAAGTTATCATGAACTCATTTTCTTAAAGTGCAATTGTGTTTATGTGTTATATCGTGTGGATAAAAAGTGATGTTTTTATTAATAAAAAAAAAGAATAATGAAAAAAAAAAAAAAAAAAAAAAAAAAAAAAACAGTGCTTTTCCTACAAAACTATGGAATAAAAAACACTCGCTGACGTAAAATTCTCTAGTCCGAGTTCGATTCATGTAAAGCGTGTCATGTGAACATAGCTGACGTATTGACATGCATTTTCTGAAATTAGGGAACCTGTTGTTAGCGTGTATGATACAAAAAAAAAACGTTCTCAAAAATTTGAATCCGTGTGTAGCAAGGTGAAATTATATAACTTATCACATTTGACATTGTCCATTGGGGCAAAGGCGTTTGACATTTTTTCGTACGGGTGGTAAGTCAGATTGAAAATTCCCAATTTTTCTCGGGAACTTAAAAAAATAGATCTCACCGACAGAATTTTTTGATAGTTTGTCAAAGAAGGGTTTTATTTGACAGCGTTTGGCTCATTGCAATTCACGTCATATGATTAAGCTTATCGATATTACTCCCGCATCGGAATAAAGAGGAAAATTCTAAAAAACACGCAAGCGGTGCTAATATATTGCGCCAAACTCTAACGTATAACTTATTGCAATTTGTGTAATTCTAGTGCGCATTTTCAGCAGGGTAAAAATAAACCACTGTTTATTCGCAGAAGCAGTCACCTAATTTAATTGCAGTTTCGTATATTTTTTCAATTTAATAAAAAAAAGAAAGAGAGATATTTAATATTTTGTCAATCAAAAGTTCAAAACACATACACACAAAAAAATGGTAACCGAAATAAAATTGCTTTGGTATGGACAGGAGGGAGCGATACGATCTATGGCCATCGAGGTCAACTCCCACCCTATTTGTTGATGTGATTGAGGTTCACGAGGTTTTATCTATTTATTTAGTTAACTGAGCAAAATTATAAAAATTAGAAACAATTCGACAACAAAAGTTACAGAATTACATTTATAGATACGATAATTGATAAACGATTTAGTGACGACATATTATGCAAATGAGCTCTAGTATTTACGCAATTTCATCAGGGCGTTTGTGTTTCATGAATCTTTTGCGTTTTATAACAATATATTTATTCTATGGGAGAAGAAATTCGAAAAGACGGTTTACCAGTAAATCAATTACACAACCAAGTATTGGTATAAGTCAGTAGGACAGGTGTGAAAATACCGGTACCGTAACTAACCTGGCAGCCTGTCCTAGTAAAATTTCGCATGCTTTAGCCTAAACCTCAGAACTTTAAAAGTGTTTTTCTATCAATTCCGCATTTCAATCAATCATTATTTCGGTTCTCTGACATAAACAACACGAAAAGTAAACAGACAAACAATATGCAGAGATATGGTACCGTGCCGGTACCGTACCTGATAGCAGTGGCGCAACCAGACCGTTTTCAACGGGGGGGTCCGACCGGAATTTACACAGTGCAACCACGACGTAAGTCGCAATGCCACTAGGTGTCGCCCCGCTGAAACGCGATAAATTGCTCGTGGTTAAAAGGGAAACGCCATCGATCAAATCCCAGCCTTTCGCTTACCTTGCACTCGTTCATTAACGGCGCTTCGCTATGTCTTGCACTTCATTACATTCCAGCGAATTGCTAACAAAAAGCTGTTAATTATTTTCAACGTTTCCCTCGCTTTGCGCCTCGTGGATAGTGAAACACGGCTTAAATAAATTCCAGTGTTTCCCTAGTGCCGCGCCTTGCTCGTTGGGTGAATTCGTCAAGACTAAAAACAAAATGCACTTCTTGCGAATGGACCTTTTCCCGACCCTAACCCCAGAAAAATTCTAAACTAAACTGAAGCTCACCGGAAGACATAATGACAATTAAAATAATTGATTTACAACTAACTTTTGGAAACACGACTAAAAACTGACTAATTTAATGCAGGGATGTCCAAATCGAATTTAAATTCAAATATCGCAAACTTCAAATACCGTTTTTTGTGTCCCGAATATGGCGCACATATCCTAGCGTCGTCGTCCATGTGTGGTTCGGCAATATATTACAGCTGACATGAAAGAATTTCGATAAACGCCGACATGAAGAACTTATAAGACTTCGAGGACGTTTTTGATTGAAAATATTTTCTTATCGTGTATTTTAACTTAGTCGAGATGGTTCAGGCGTCCTCGGCAAATTGTGTCTTAATTAGTTGTTTTCATCCTCAGTTTCGATAGTGACCGAACATAACGGGAAATTTTTTCATTTCTTGTAATTTAGCGCGTATAAAATAGCTCTTAAATAGTATTTAATATCTATCGCGGATTTCGACGGCATCCGGCGTTGATGACAATATCGTTCAGTTTAAGTTAGCGGTATTCATTTACAAACAAAAATACATAACAGCCGACATGAAATATTCAAATCAGCGCAGAGTTCAAAAATAAAACACGTTTTATGGTCTTAATATGCACTTAGAAAGAAGAAAGGACAGAGAAATAACGACTAAAAACTAAGAATGGTATGCTATGTTTGTGTACTTTTGTTTACCATCGTCATCATAATCAAATTAGTTAAACCCGATTCCCAAATTTCCGTCCGCCAATAATGGAGAATAAAGATGGAAAAACGTGTTTTACTTTTTGAGTCGGCGTTGATTTAAATTTTTCATGTTATGTGTTATAATTTTTTGATTATAAACCAATACCTCCAACTTAAAATAAACGATATTGTTATTAACGACGTCGGGATAACGATAAAATCTCCGATAGAAACCAAATAATATTTAGAAGCTATTTTATAGAGTGCAAGAAATTAAAAAATTTCCCGGTAAGTTCGATAACTATCAAAACTGAGGATGAAAACAATTAATTAGGGCAGGATTTGCTTTTAAGTTTATTGCCGAGGCGCACAACATATCTTGACTAAATTGAAATATACGATAACAAATGTAAAAAATTTTCAACCAAAAACGTCCTCGACGTCTTATAAGCACTTCAAGTCGGAGTTTATTGAAAACCTTTCACGACGACTGTTAGTTATTGCCGTGCCACACATGGCTGCTTTCGATTGCGATAAAAAATGAAATATTTGTGAAATGTTTTTAAATCAGAACGTGGACTGGGGCGGTAGGATGTGTACGGCGTTTTCGGTTTTCGGTCTTTCATATGTAGAAAATCTTAGATTAATCGAAGCAATATTTTTCCGAAAATAATTTTCGTATCCAGATTTTGAGAGTTACTACTGCATTATTATAACATGAAGACGGGCGGCGTTACATTGCGTCAAGATGATGAAGCACGAGAGTATTCGTCACAAGAGAGAGAGAGATAGCATTATGCTAATGTCGCTTTCAATGCGCATCGACAGCGCGCGATTTCTACCTTTTTGAGGTAACATATCTCATTTTCGAATACAAACATATACGCGGCGATAGCGATTGTTACGCAACTAACAGCAAAAAGGTATGATTGAAGTCGGGCGGTGTTAAATTACGTCGAGGTGATAAAGCACTGAAAAAAAGTAGTTTTCACCGGATTGTTATGACCGTGGAACGACGTTGTTTGAACGTAGAACGATAATAAAAAAAAAACGAATTTCAAACGGGGTGGACACGACCCCCGTAACCCCCCCGCTGGTTGCGCCACTGCCTGATAGGCGAGTAGGCTATAATTTCAACAGAGATCTTTCCAGTCTGTTTGTGTTAACTTACAGAAACTTCAGAAAATCAGACAAGAATAAAACTATGCCATTCTCATTGCATGAGAATACTAAAATAGAAGTTTTATTTAAAGCTTTCATTAGAATGGTGACAGAAATTCAGTATTATTATCTTTTGATAAAACTATTATATCAGTATATCTGAAGAACTTAACTAACAATACAGTACGGCACAGTTCTCGCATCCAAGGAATATCCTAATTTTGAAGACGTCAATTATGGCGATGAAACAAATCCCTACTTTATGAGACAGTCTGGCACTGCCCATCAATATTGCTTTAAAAACGTCACAATTGGATTATCAGAGAAAAACTAATCAAATCTAAATGAATAAAATAATTTACCGCAGCGTTAGAGTGTTTTTAGCAAAAAACAGCACGTTGGACAAGTTTTGATCATATGACATCTGACGCTTCGATGAACGAGACCATATATTGTGCATCTACAGTCATGCCAGAAGTCCTTCGTTTCTGGGACAAATAAATTCTTTGTTCTATAGGTGTCTGAATGTTGAATAACTAGGCCTATTGTTTACTAATATAGGTCAGTCCACATAATATAATCCATATATTTGCATATTGTATTTTTAGCTGTTTAGCCAATGATAATATTTTATTGTCAAATGGTTTAACGCACCCTTGATTCTAGGACAATTATTTTGTTCAGAAAAGTTTGCGAGTGCTTAATATCTTATGAAACTTTTTCTGTTTGTTGTGTAGCATTACTACAATGGCTTATGATTAATTATCTGTGTACAATTCTGCTTCAAGCCAACAATGGCTGCCAAAAAAATGAAGCAATATTTTCCGATATTATTTGCGATATTTCTACTCATCGGAGTTTCCGGATTATTCTTTGGTTTCCCTGGACGTTATCTCGCTGTGGAAATTTCTCCGATACTAATGGGATATGCAGGAGCTGTGTATATATTTGTACTTGTTAATTTTATCGCAGCTGGGGCCACGGATCCCGGGGTTTATCCGAAGCGGTCTGAACCCGAAGATGATGAAGATGAGCTCAGAGCACCAGTGTATATTACCGTTCTTATCCATGACATATCTGTTCGCATGAAATGGTGTAGCACTTGTAAATTTTACCGTCCGCCTCGTGTCTCGCATTGCAGTGTTTGCAACAACTGTATAGAAAAGTTTGATCATCATTGTCCGTGGGTGAACAACTGCGTTGGACGGAGGAATTATCAATATTTTTTCTTGTTCTTGATGCTGCTTACTTTGCATATGATCAATATTTTCTCATTTACTCTCTGGGCCGTCATTTTAAACCAAAATGGACAAAGCGATGGAATTATTTTTGGAATTTCCATCGCGGTTTTGGTCGTAGATGGTTTGATTTTTATCCCCATCTCAGGACTTTTTGGATTCCATATTTCTCTCGTTATTCGAGGCCGAACAACCAATGAACAAGTCACAGGGAAGTTTAGAAGTGGAGTTAATCCATTTGACAATGGTTGCAAAGCAAATTGTTTTCACGCGATGTGTTCCCCACAGATACCAAAATACATTAATCGATCCGACGCCGTGGATTATACAAAGTATAACATTTCTCCCCCTTACACTGTTGACAACGATAACTTAAGCATTCGGAATGTTAGGATCCGAGAAAATGGTTCAAATGCTATTTCTGCGTACACCCCTCGTCCGATTGACAATGAAAAAGAAATTTTCCCAAAGCGTAAAGGTTCACTTATACCTCAAGGAAGCTCAGATGAAAGCGATACAACTTCCGAACCCCCACAAGTGAGGGTGATCACTGGGAATGGGAGAACGGAATCTGTGCGCTCAGAATTGGATCCGAATAGATTTCGTGCTCGAGTGACCCCCGTTCATGCAAATCAAACTTGTCAGCCGACTGACGCGATACAGTACGCATGCATAGACGGCCAGCTTAACAATGATGATATTTCGGACAGTAGCGGACAAAATTTTGAAATGACGAATATGAAGGGGGGTAACAGACCAGAATTGAATGGCAGCGCCACCACATCATTGGTGACCAATGGTGACGCTCATCATTGTCTTAGCGACAATAATGTAAACAAAAATACGGAGGGTGAGTCAGCAGAAAATAATGACTGTGACACAGCGGAATCTCCTGATCAAACTTTTTATAAAACTGACGAAATTTTGTACGATAACTTTGTAATGCCAAAGCGTAAAAGTTCGAAAGTTTCAGAGAACCGAGATGACGAGATACACGATGAATCGTCAAGTTCGAGTGAGGGAAACTCATGCGCTTACATAACTCACGATACTCCACCCGGTGGCAGGCTGAGTGATCCTTTAGCTAATGTAAACAATTGCAATAATATTCCTGCGAGCGATCATATCACAAAATCAGTGGACCATGACGTTTGCGAATCTGGGTATGTGAGTACATATAACTCGACCGACCAGCCGTTATCTACGAAGGATCTGACGAACAAAATCGAACTGGAAAATGCAATGAGAGATATAGAAGCGAACGTCGCATTGCTTCATGTTACAGATTCCGCAGAAACACTGAAGAAAGACGACATTATTATGTCACAAAAAGGTGATTGTTCAGTAACAAACGAATCACAATGAATGCACTTAGTGACAGGCTGCCTTTAGTTGTAGTTAAGCATCGGCTAAACATTTTCAAATAGTCGATTCATGTGTGATACAAGCATAATCCGAACATACCACAAGCTTGTCTTATCAACGCTCAAAGATATTCTTGCAAAAAATTACTGAAATATCTGGTTTCGATTTTTAGAAGATTCTTAAAATATCTGTCGGTGTGCTGCAAACATATTCTAACAATCCTCAACTATTCATTGGAGCATATCCGTTAAGAATAATCACAATCTATTCGGCATTTGACTGTGCTGGCATTTTTGCCTCCCGGTCAGCGTCAAACTGTTCTTAGAGGGACAAGCTTGTGGTGTGGTTTGAACAAACATTATGGCATCATAATAAATATGATTTCAATTTAACATTTTTTTATACCATAGCACGAATTATGATGTCATAATAGTTTTGCATAGTCATAATGGCACCTGTCAAACAATGATTGTTTTATAACACTGCACCTTAGTAGTAGTGAATAATCATGCACTTTTATATTTTTTATTCAAACAACCATGTTAGCAGGGATGTCCAAAACTGAATTCTTCGATTCATTCTGTTGATCCCATTCAGGATTAAGAATCTGATGTTCAAGAGCATTCTCTATTGCAGTCCAAATTTCTTCATGAACACAGCCCAATTCAAGTGAACGTATTGTTCAGGGCTTATCAAACTGGAGGACGCGACCTCCACTTTTTAGGGGTCGTAATCTTTTACCTCAAAAGTTTGGGAAACCCTGTTTAGACCAGTGGTTTGCAATAAAACTGATCAATTTATTTTTTGCAAAAAAAAATAAATTCAGGGTGTATTTGGAATAGTTGGTTACTTGTCTTTCTTAATTAATAATTTCACTTTCATAAACTATTCAACTTTCTTTTAGAATTACTTGATGTAAGACGAAAATTATTTTTAGAAATATTTTTTCAAAAAGTATTTGGAATGGTTTGGAAATCCCTGAGTGTTAGTTTTTGTGTGCTTTTTATTGCTTCAATATTTTTAAAAAAACACTTTCTAACGATAGATTTTCATGAGTGAAATGCAACTTCATTTTGCTTCTATATAATCTAGATTTCCTTTCACAAATCATTTCAAATGAAGACATGGGGGCAGTAGGATGGTAAATTGTTTGTGTCAAAATGTATTTGCTGGTGCATAATGCGCCAACATAATTCTATGTAACTTAGATGAGTCCTTTATTTCTAAGTAAGTGCGAGTAACATTACTCATCAATGAGTCTCCTTCATTTCTGAGTGATTGCCCATAACTTTGTTCAGAGATGAGTCTCCTTTACTTCCGAATGAGTGCACGTAACTTTGTTCAGAGATAAGTCTCCTTCACTTCTGAGTGAGTGCCCGTAACTTTACTCAGAGATGAGTCTCCATTACTTCTGAGTGATTGCCTGTAACTTTGCCCCTAGATAAGTCTCATTTACGTCTACTCAAAAATCAGCCTTCTTTATGAGACTGAGTGAGCTCTCTTTTACACCTATAAAACTAAATGTTGTATTTTATTATTTAGCTAGAAGATATGGCCGGAAACATTTATTCTAAGACTTATGGTGGTTGGGTAAGTGATCGCACCGCTTGCATGAACATCGATGATAATTCATCCATGTTATAATTTTTTCAAATCGAGAATTCACTTATTCTTTCCCTGAGTTGATTTGAATAATTTCAATTCTTATGTCAACTCTTTCCCTATATTTCTGTCGTGAAGGATAGACCAGGGTTGGGCAAGATTTTTGAGTCAGGGGCCAAACATTTTGCCCACCTAGATTGGTGGGCCATGTAAATGTGAGTAAAAAGTTACGATTTATGAACAATATTTACAGTTTTACAAAAACGAGTAGAAATGACCCTCGTATCGAAACTAAATTTAATCGCAATCTCAAGTTCATTGAGCTATTTTTTGGCTAAAACATCAAAATTTGGTTTAGTTGTGGCAGCATTAGGCGGGCCATATTGAATTATCCAACGAGCCTGTATTTGGCTCGCGGGATGTATTTTGCCCATATCACGGATAGACATCAGCTCATAAAGCAGAGGCAACAACTGCTCATCACAATGGGCCAAAATTTAATCCACGTGGACTCTGAGGGCCAGGCCATCAGCCAAATCATAAGCTAGGCATATTGTAACTAGTGGAATGGTGTCGTTGATGTTGTACTCTTTCATTGCTGCTATATAGCACCAATCTGGCAAATACAACTTGACTGCGTTGAACAAAAACGAATCTTGATGACAAAAAACTTTGGCATATCTAGACTGTTGAAGACGCATAGTAAAATTCCTGCTTTTTGAGCCTTCGTGGTAAATTTTGACATGTTCCATATCCATTAAAAGCCTGAAGAATAGCTCGCCACACTCCGACTTCACATCATTGGTTTACGTGTTTTATGCTTTGAATCCAAGTTGTCATAACGTATATTTAGGTTTTATATAATTTTATCAAAATATATTCTGTAATGGTGATCGCAAAAATAATTCTACACTTGACTGATCAATCAAAATAATTTGCATGCATGATTGGTCTCAGCTGGGCAGAATTTGAGAATTCATAGTTCTTTGGAAAAAGTATAAAATCGGAATGTTTATCTGTCTATTTTATCTATCATATTACTATCAGCTCTTATCAACAAAAGATAAACTGATAATATACTGGCAATAAACAAGGTGTCCATAAATTCCCTTTACAGTTTCAATTTTGTTATTAGATGGGTTCTTAATAATATATCTTAACCAGGTTACATCCATTTATTTAAGCATTGCTATCCTGGTTCCTAATAAAAAACTTTTTAATTGTATAACTTACAGTAAAAGGTTCAAAATTGAAATCAAACGTTCGAATACAATTCAAATTGGTTAAATCGATATATATAATTTTTGATGTTAAGAATAATTGATTCAGAATATTGTGGATGCACTGCGTTTCCAAACCATAGGGAAATTCTTCCACAGGAAATAATTTACTAGTTCTTTTGAATTGTATTTGCTGCAGTTCTACTAGTGATTTGGTGCTTTGTTATTGCTATAACACTTATTTATGAACACATTACGAACTACATGTGCGACTCGCGTTTGTTGTATGTATGTATGTTTATTCGTCTCGTAATAGTGATAAAAAAATAAATGAACGATTATTATTATGTAAGACGGGATGCATGCACAAGACCGTACTGGCCTAAAACACAAATGTGCGGCATGCACCCTTTTTAACAAATATAAAACAAAAAACATTAGATTAAATATGTATAGTATGGTCCCTTATATGGGCTATACCAAGTGACACTATCAATTCCAGAAATTCTAGAAACACTAGACAATTCCAGAAATTTTGCATGTTGTTAGATGCAATATATTTTTACATTTTCAGCTACATGTTTTGTTTCATTGTCCAATCAATTGCTTTATTGAATATGTAAAAAATTGCACAAAAGTTACACACGAGAAAGTTTTACTCACCTAAGGATCAATTGAAGAAATAAAATAATTTCATACATATTGAGGGAAGAAAAAAGAGTTCCAAACTAGGCTAAGGTTCCTAAGATTGGGAACCATTGTGATATCCAGTTGAAACAGATTGATTGATTAACTTTGAGTTATTGACGAATCGGTGGCCTATTATTAACTCCGGCTGCTTTCCTAATAGTCCCTGGGGGCGGATTTCAAATATTTTACATCGGTGATGGGTTATGTATGGCCACACATAGTCTAATTAGAATGATTTGAATATAAAATATATAGACAATTAGTAAGAAGCAAACGTTTTTTGCCCCAGAACGTGTATGCTTTTTATCTCGCCTCACGGAACATCAATGAATTAGAAGGTAAAATTGATGATAAAAAAATTGTGTAATGGATTTATGTTGTGCATCAACTTGCGCAACTAGCTTATCACAGCATCTTTTGAGACTTCTAGTTTTAAATTAACAATCCACTAAGAAGGGTGGGTGATGTTTCAAAAATTTAGCTCATAATAAAATATAAAAAGTTTGCTGTTAACTTGACAATCAAAAATTAACGTTCAACGATATTGAACAGCCTGGATAAAAATATTGATAACTGAGACTCAAAGTTTTGTAATGAAAAATGAATTTGTCTTATGGCACATTCTAAACCGAGTACAAGATCATGGTTAAATTATCAGAGTAGATTATAATTCCTGCACAGGTGACAAGAACTTCTTTTTTAATTTATTGTTATTATTTGAAATGATTTGTAAAAGGAAATCCTCGTTTTTAAATATTTTGACAATTTTCTCCTAAAAAAAAAGATCTTGCACATTATTTCCACATACACACATAGAAGCACATTATTGCATGAAAATTTCACATAACATTTATGACTTAATAGTAGCGATTCTTTAGATGATTTGTGATGCAATAATTATTTTTTGCATGTCTTTGCAGTGTTCCCATACCTTTAATATGCATGATCCCTTTGATTTGATTTTTCTGTAGTATATATTTAATTTTTTTTAGTTGTGTTTGTCTTTTTACCCCCCTCGTCCCCACATCTTCATGGGATGTTGATTCTCTCCATACATGGCTTCGTAAAAGTAGCCGCTTATGTAGGGAAGAATGCACTAACTATTGATTTTAATGTCACAATTAACCACAATTTTGTGTATGAAATCACAATTGTTAAACTTTTCGCCATCGCACGGAGTTCATCTAACCGTTGGTCGCTTACGACTTCACCATCAAGTTTATGCATCTGAAACAAATAACTGATTTCCATACTCGATATAGACTGGTAGCCAACCTGACGACGGGCTGTGCGACTAAGCCGTCTTAGAGTCTTTTATCTCCCCATAGGATAAGAATGCGAACCATATTGAATTGTATTGAAGTCTTTTATTGACCAGTCAAATTGGTTCATTATATTATCCTGCTTTACTCAACTAATGTCTTCTGGAATTTTTGTCTTAATTGGGAAATTAGAACATTTTTTTTATTGTACCGGTACTTTTGCAACTGAATTATTTTTTGTGATTATTATGGTTTTGACCAAAATCTTTTCCCCCCGAATTGAGGATCATTTACTTTCAGCTTGTGAGAGAAACGGGCATTTGGATTCGGATTGCAGCCAACAATTTGACAGTTTGAATGAAAATCATCAGCTGGACAATATTTCAAAATCCGCTCGTAAAAAACTACCACTAGGTGGTGGCAAACTAGGTCATAGAGGTCGAGGGAGGTCAAAATACGAAAGACTTCAAAAAACTGGACATGTGTCCACCCTGGTCGGAAAGTTTGAACAGCAATCTACTGACCAATCAAAATCAGATGTACAAAGGTTAAAGTTGAAAGTTCGTGGCGATCAACTTCCCATGTCAAAAATCAAAGGTCATAATAATAGGATTGACCAAAATGAAACTCAATGCAGTAAAACGGAAAATGCGAGACTTCTTGTTAAGTTAGCGTAATCACCGGACTTATTGGCTTTAGTACTGCAAACTATTTTCCATGACGCAATGATGCATCGTTGTGCTTTTTTACAGATATTATAATGAACTGTGTTCTTTTGAACTTTCATAACTTGTTCCTTCAAAAAAGTTTTCAGCCGTTAAATTCTGTTGGATGTCAGCTCAGACCCGTTTATCGTCAGTGTACCTACAATACAACTCTCTTGCCCAAAGTTTTTTCGAGAGCTTCGGTTATTCGTAGCTGTTTTTCTATTGAATCTGACTGTTTTGAGTCTCTTGTCGATTGGTATTTATTAACGCGCAATTTCATACCGTAACTCTTTATAACAGTGGTTCGGAAAAGTTGATTGACTGGGCCAAATTAGAAGCGGAAGGATATTCGTGGGCCGAGAGAGGGGTGCGCCCGCAAAGGGCTGATACCGATACGTATAATTAACATACTGGTGTAACTGAATTGTTATAAATATACACATGCGTAAACCGTGATAATGACAAAACAATTGGCGGTATCCATAACGCGAAAAGAAAACAAACATTAAAAAGTATTAACTATTTCACTCAAGTTTAGCGGGCTAAGGTCTGGGAACCATTGCATTAAGTCTCAGTAGTCTTTGGAACTTATTGGTTGCCCATATTAGTTAAATCAATCAATCAATCTTTTATTTGTCAACACAAAAAACAAGCATATAGAAAACTGTTACAATAAATGAAATATACTGATCATGTTAATTGTGTGACTGGAGTCGCGAGGGACCTATAAAGGTCTTCAAGCAGCGACACCTAGCTGATGCAGGTTAGTATAAAAAAGTAACTAAATAAGACACAACTACTGAATACCAGTAGTTGCGGCAGTATACATAATTGAGGCTACTGTGCAGATTATTTAACAAAATAAATGAGAATGCCAACCACCTCACACAGAGTGTGATGAATTGAGTAGACACTGCGAATCAGAAGACTTTCAGTTCTTTTAAATTATACTGCATGCACGAGCCCTTGTGTATTAAAATGAATTATTACTTAAAAAAAATTTAGTTTGATATTTCATAAAGGTATTATCCAGAATGAATGTTTTTTCCAATTCGTGTTTGACAAGAAATTTTGTTAATTATAAAAAGCTATTATCGAATTTATTATTCTTTTGCCAATATTAGCGCTTACTATTCGATGGATTTAACCCAGAAATGCAAAATTCGAGATATGTTGGAAAATGAGAGAATTGTAGTTTTGATTTTTATAATCCTTTGACTTTTTTTAAATTACTTATTGAATAATGCCCCTAATTATGATTACCAGCTTGAAACAAAACTTGGCGAATTCTTTCTCCTGAAATTCAACATTTCGTTTTTTTTTCTTGAAATCGATCTGGACTCGTTGCCTTTTTTCATTTTGAATTGAAAGACTTTGTTCCCATATTTTGTTGGAGATTCATGGAAAATAACAACTCGTATGAATAGCAGTTTAATTGTGGACATAGTAGCCCCACCTAGCAGATCTGTGTTGTTAGAGAAAATTTACGATTAACTGTAAATTCGACCCATTTTAAAAACGACTCAACTCAGTATTGCTTTAAATTTTAAGTTTGAAATCCCGTCCTCTATGAATTCGATATTTCACTCCAGTGGGATAGATATTACAACTTCGAGGCCGATAATTGTGACCTGGCCCACCTGGTGTATAGTTTGCTTACTGACACGACTTTATCTTATTATTCTTTGTTACTGCTTCAAGTTTTATGTACAAACTCATTTTCCATCCATTGTATTTATTGAAGAGAATTTTTTGTCTTATTATCTTTTATATATCATCATGTACCATAAATTTTTTCATCAAAAATGCGTTTTAACAACATTTCAAGATGTCAGCTATGTAGACTTGGGCCATGGGGTCGGGAAAACGTTTAGATCACCTTGGAGCGATCCAAAGAAATGTCTATATACAAAAATTTCGACGCCAGGCTGGCGAGTAATTTGTAACCTTAGACTCCCAAGACCAGAGCTGAACTCCGCCCCTTTGGTGCAACTGAACTTTCCGAACATAGCAGGGATGCCCAAAAATTTAAATAAAAGCTATCGAAGTTTTTTTGAGTGACACGTAATCGAAAATGGCGTGTAAGAGATTTGATACACATAATAATTAAAATGGCTGTTTTGCTTTAATATTGTGTGGTATACAAATGTGGTTTATGGTCACTGCTGGCTTTTAGAAATAGGGGCATACCCAGGGGGTGGATTTTGCAAGTTGGAATCCCCCTTTCCAAATGTAATTTTTTCGTATCATTCATAGCATAGACTCTTGAAAACCTACATTTTCTGCCGGAACCAGCTGGATGTTACAGTCTAACTTGGTTACTTGTCTATAAGAAATTGCAGAAATTTGGTTGGAATTGCTGATATTTTTTTTTACTATTTTTGTAAAATCATGAATTTCACTAATCAGTGCAAAGGATCAATTGCAAAAGTAATTTCAGAGTGTTTGTAACCATATATGGGCATCCCTGATCTCATGGCTCCTAAATTAAAAAAAAAACGGTTGAAGCGTGACCAGTCGGAATAATCTCATACTAACAAGCAGGTGCTCGTGCTGCTACTTTTTATTTTGACTAAAACAAACATAAAAGAGTTTTAAAGAAGTAACTTTACGATAAGACGGTATTTTGATTGGTCATGCCTCAATAATTCTCACTAGTGGCGGAACTGTACTAATCCTTCATTTGTTCACTATATTTCAATATCGAAAAATATATGCCGTTTGTTTTTCCAGAATATTTATTAAAAATACATAATTACAGAGATTGGTATGTTTGTTTGAATAACACTAGCAATACTTGTGCAGAAGAGGAGAGAAAAGAATAGAAGAAAAACCTCGTCTTGAGTCCTAATTTGCTGCGAGTATAGCCAGCGATGAAATTCAAAACTAGGTACTCCCGTAGTGTGTGTGCCAGGTTATGGCTAGGCCATAATTTTATTCCGATTTTCTATATTTTAGTTCTATTACGAGTTCGGGCCGGTCTGTGTTAGCTGAGTGAATATACCCCCTGCCCATAGGTTTCAGTCCCTTTACACAACTTGATGTAAAGTAGGCGAACAAAATTAGTCACTTCCATATTGGTACACAAACTTCTGGAGTGCCGATTTGAAATTTCAAGAACTTTCTTGTAGTTGCACAAAAGTTTTGGGTATTGATCTTATGGCATGTGTTGTTCGCAAGCAAATTGATTGGAATTACTTGCACGTAGCAGGTTAAATAAATTAAAAACTCGTTTCTAGGGGCGCACACCATTCAAAATTGGCACTTCTCCGCGGGCTACACAATTTTTCTCTGTGTTCCGCAGGTTGCGCACCCCTGTCCTATATTATAAGTTTATTTCGACAGAATCAACGAAACATAAAATAAAATGATTGATTTAACAAATAAATAAAAAAACGATTATGAAATCAGGATACCAAACAAAACCTTAGATGAGGTTAAAAATGTAACAAATATAAGATGGACGATTTTGCCAAAAAGTTATACGTGTTTCTGAATGAGTGCTTGAAACCTTGCTTCGAGCAAATTTCCGTAAAAAATGTGGAAAAATCATTCACGATCAAACAACCTTTGACGTTTTGTTGACTTGAGTTTTGTAATTTTTCTGTATGTTGGGAAGTTTAAACTCAATTAATACAAATCATTACTTTATTATTGTTTTGTCAGCGAGGTAAATGGAGATTCCTTATGCTAAGCCCTTCTGTAGATGGTTACTATTTGTCCTCTACTGGGACTATGTTCAGACGAACTCCAATATTGCGCAATTTGAATCCGATTTCCAGTGCTTATCTATGGAATACAAACTCATGCTTTGGAAACACCATGTTCGAGCTGACATTTGCTGTAATTCACGGAACCAAAAATCTCTGAAACTAAAAAAATTTCAACATTGGCGATTTAGTGAGCCTCTACTGCTATCTAGTGGATTTAAATTTGACCCGGAATCGAGGAATTTTATTCGAGAAGTCAGGAATTCAATATTTTCTTTTGTGAATCCAACGCCTATGAAAACAGCAGTTCAACTCGTTGCAATCTCAAGTAATGCACTGGAAAACACTCTGGACTTGGATACCGCTGATTGCAATGTTTCCAGAAGTTTTCTTGATTTTATCAGCGGAAACAAAGTCTTGAATGGAAGTTTTCCTCTTGCACACAGGTTAGTATTGGGTGTTCATATGGTGCTCCCGAAGTATGTGTACCAAGATGGCGCACAACCTGAACATAGTATGTGTAACAGGTTAGGATTCAGGTTGTGCGTTATCTTGGTAAACATACTACGGGAGTGCCATATTAGTGTTCATATTAATCCTGATGGGGGGGGGGGGGAGATGATAAGACGACTGAATTGATCCATTTCATTTTCAGATATAGGAAGAGTAGCCACTCATTTGTTTCAGATGCGTGAACTTGATGGTGGATGAAGTGACTGGCAGTTAGGAGAAATACCCTATGGCAAGAAGGAGACCAATATTCCTGTCACACATAATAATCCTTTGAAGCATTTGAACCATTGAATCTTGAATGCGGTTCTTGAAGCCGCATGCACCTTTTAACTATTCTTTCTGCGGCTTATTAATTCTTTCCAGTAAAAATTTGTTTTTTACCCCGAGTTTTGTTGATATTTTAATTTGTTTCTTTTATGGGCGCCTTACAACTATAAGGTTTGAAATTTGGCTCTGACACTAGTTTCTTAAGTTTCAGAAAACTAGTCTGGCATGGCCATCCCTGACAAGCGGAAGTGATGCTTTCATTTATTTTATGTTCCACTATTTTCTAAAGGTAATACACCTTCAAATTTACATTTTATGACAGTGCTATTTTTTGACAATCTTTTCCTAGGTACGGAGGCCATCAGTTTGGATCGTGGGCCGGACAGCTTGGCGATGGTCGAGCTCATCTGCTTGGTGAATACGTGAACTCAAAAAATGAAAGATGGGAGTTGCAATTGAAAGGTTCATGCAGTTATTGTAGCATTTAATATAAGTTTGGGTACTCCAGAAGTATGTGCACCAAGATGACGGACACCGGAATGTAGTATGTGTACCAGGTTAGGTTTAGGCCATAATTTCAGGTACAAATAGTACGGGAGTCACTTGACACATACTACGTTCCGGTGTCCGCCATCTTTGTGCACATACTTCTGAAGCGCCCGAGTTTGTCCATTGAAAAACCCATAAATCTGATGAATTCTAGAATAAGTGATAAGTTTGCTGGCACGATGGCCTAGTTCAGGGGTCCATCTCTAATACAGAAGGGCCAGATACAAATAGTTGTGTGAAACAGCAGGCCGCACCTTTAGTTAACATCAGAATTATAATAGGAAGGGAATTACTCACACATACCATATTGAACTTCAAAACTCGTTTTGTGGGCCACACACCTTTCAAAATTAGTACTACGCAGCGAGTCACACAATTTTTCTATGCGGGCCGCATTTGGCCCATAGGTTGCTCATCCCTGGCCTACAGGTTTTGCAAAATACACCCAAATCATAACGATTTTTGTGAGAAGGTTTTTGGGTCTCAATTCATACTGAAATTTTGATCATCCTATTTATTCAGGCTCCGGTCAGACACCTTACTCCCGCCGAGGAGATGGTAGAGCAGTG